TATGCACTTACGTATATATGTACGTATAAACAGGGAACTGCCTTTCAGATCTCCACTTCTTGGAGCTCATCGAAAAAACCGAAGAGCTCGACGTTCAAAATTTCTTCGGGAGTTTCTTCTTCTTTGTCTTCCTATTTTTTCTTCTTCTCTTTCGTTATGGTACGTGAAATAATAATTTCTACTCCTAAGACCGCCATGGGCATTATACATCTCACAGAGCACATTTTATTGTATTACTTACGCACACTTCATATGCGTTTTCACGAACCCCGAATTAATGTTCAGCGCGTCTGCAACCCGTTCATTCGCCTCATCCCATGATCCCAAAGCCCCAGAGTTGTGTTGCAACCTTGTTCTTAAAGTTCTCGTTAAAATGATTATAACGTGTGATCTATTATGATGATTATTCCTCGAATATGCCATGCCTTTCTCAAAGGGTATAACAGTGTGTACTATTGCCGCAGTCTTGTAACTATGGCGCAGAATGAGGTCGTCTGACTGCAATGCGGAATTTACCATAGGCATTACGAAAATGCTGACTCTTTAACCAATACAAAAATGTAGCTTTTAACATTGATTCAGGTTGAATATTGTACTGCATGTGTTGTAGCGAACATGAGATAGGAATCCTAAAGATGACTCTAAGGCGAGCGTTTTATCTTCGGCACAACTTCTCATGGAGAAACAGCTAAAACAAATCGGTTTGATGACCAATTGATTTGCTAGTTGAAGGGGCTTTCCAACCACAGCTGCGCATGAGGGAGCTTAAGTTCAAAGTAGGCTGAATTAACTTCTCAGGTTCTACCGCTTAAGGAGCCACAATAGCAAGCGGAAAATGCAGCGATTTTTTGCCGAAAATCACACCGGCACTTGAGAAGTCTACCAGTGCTTTCTAAAGCGGATTTTGTTATAAGGCACGATTTGGAGCAAATCAACTTAGAGCTTGGGAAGAGAGATTTTAGAAATGCTTACGTCAATTGTTGAAATATATGCCCCTCCATCCGAGTTTACCAATTCCGTATAGAAGATTAGCCGCTGAGGGACGAATTTTTATGCCCTTCGTAGCTGGTCAAAGGCTTTACGCTTTAAGCAACAGCTTATAATGGGAAAAACCTTCAGTGACAAAGAGATTCGTTCCATTTTCAGATAACTGATTGACACCATTTTATGGCCGTCCCAAAATCAAAGACAAACCGAACGCTGATTCGACACGGGGACCAATAGCCCCTGTCTATAACGAGGGATGTAGACAGCATCCGGGACGGAAGAAATCCGCACATAAGTCGGATAAAACGAAACCATCGATCTACAAGAATGCCGATTTCAGACCGTTTGACCGTCGATAATACCCGCAATATATCACGACCGCTCTCCAAATAGATTAAAGACTATGCCGCTTCATTTCCTCTCATGTATAGGCTGGAGTTATCTTTTACACGGGCTATGAAATAAATCTTGAATCCTTGATAAATAACTGACTCAATTTCATGAAATATCCTTGACCTTTGTATTCATTTGCATCCTAAACAAAAAGGCCCACCCGGAATTTAATTCTACCTTCATTAAACTGATCGTATAAGGGTATCTTTAGCCCGCCTATTAGCGCCGGTCGTGATTAACAACGATTGTAGAAAAGAATTTATGGATTAAAAGTCGCTTATTATGCGAAAAAGTATTTTGTGAGAACGTGACAAATGAGAAAAGCGAAAACGTGCCTGTGCACCGTTATCTATGCAAATGAGACTGTATCGGCGATAAACACGTGCGTATCAAGCGTCCTACCGTAATGCTATTCCCGGTGTCGCGATATTTACAGGTACATATCGATTATCGCCATTAGTATAAAATTAACTCATTTACTGACCTACACCCTTGAATCGTCTCAAACTCAGATTTGGTAAATTTAAATTAGTTTCACAGTCGGGAAAGAAAATTTAATTTATAATCTCTCCCACTTACTTCACGATCATTGTACAGAATGTCCAACTGACTATGCTTGAAATCATCTCAACCGTGTCTCAAATAATTGCTTTGAAGTGAATAATTAAGTTCAGCAGGACTTTGGCATTAGAGAACGAGCGACAGAGACAGCATCCTGATGGGAAGAGGATTCATCGCAGGGTAAAACACAAAACCACCGGTCGACAAGAATCCCGATTTCAGAAAGCTTGACCATTCGAAACTGACGCAAAACTTCGCGACCGCAATCCAAATAGACTCAACACTAAGGCGGTTCTCTTCCTTCACGCACAAGCTGCAACTATCTTTTATACAGAAAACGAAAGAAATCTTGTGTCCTTGATGAAAATCCGGCACTATTTCGCAAAATATCCCGCGCATTTTTTCAGTTGTTTAATAAACAACAAAGGCCGCCGGGAATTTTATTTTTGCCTCCCTAAAACTGGTGGTATATGCCTATGATTAACCCTAATTATGGCGTTGAATTTCCATATGGCAGGGATCATAGAAGAGAACTTATTGTTTAAAAGTCCAACATTGAGCGAAAAAGCATTTCATGGGAAAGTAGCAATTTCTCTATTCGATTTCATGACTGTGAACCGTTATCTATGCAAATGAAGGACTGTATCGGCGATAAGCAAGTGCGCCACGCGTGCCCTACCTCATCCTTACTGATGGTGTAATCCACAGATACGAATCGATTTCGGCATGAAGTTAAAATTCACCAACTTACTGACACGCAGTTAAGATTCGTCTGCGCAGCAGATTTTTTAAATTTAACTTGATTTTACACCTCGGAAAAAAAATTTACTTCCAAATTTTTCGAGCGCGAATCACCTCCCATGCACAGATTGTCCTGCTGGTAGTTCTTCACTTTATCTGAACTGTGTCTGAAATATTGGCATTTAAGCCAAAAACTAAGATCATCAAGATTTTGAGCGTTTTAAAACATGCCTCATAGACAATATCCTGATGTGAACGGTGCCGAACATTCGTATGAAAAAACAAAAAACCGTCGGTCTAGAAGAATTTCGATTTCAGACCGTTTGACCATTCCTACCGCCAAATTTCACGACCGCTGTCCAAATAGACTGAAGA